GGATAATCCAAACTGTGTTAGGATTTTCCGTTATTTTAGACATTCTATTGATGGTTCGATGCAAACAATGCGACTAGACGCGTAAGGAAGTTCTGAAAATTATACCCGTACCATGCGGACGTGAGAGTCAAAATGCCTGGAATTCATTGCTACTGCCCCCCCCCCCACTCCAAAAAAAATACCGGCGTGTGTCGGGAAGCTTACATTCTAAGGTGATGTTGTCCCAGTTAAAACTGATTCGGCGCTCGGCTTAAACTGACATTCACGCAATGATCTCAGCATACATGTGAATGTTGAGTATTCCGCTGTTTCTCACAGGAAAACAGGCGTAAGCGGCCACAAAAACCGTCATCAGATGCACTGGCAGTGTGATATTCCTCTTACAATATGCATGCGGCACGTACGACTCATCGAGTTACCGTGCGACTGCACCTGTTACTCATACGATTCACTGTGCATCGTAAACTACGCACAAGCTATGGAAATCTGAGCATGATAATGACTTAATGTCAAGTTCCCATATAGGGGAGCTGATGGCGATCATTCTGTGAAAATCTGGTACAAATTAGTATTTTGCACATACTGTGCGCACTGAGGACAGTTTTTGTACCATACCATTGCGTATCAATTTTCCGTGCGATGGTTTTTATTCGACATTGTCATGCATTCATGTTTTTATGTACATGTTACCAAAAGGCGCACACATGACGCCGTAACATGTGGCAAATGCGAGGGAATATTGTATTTTTGGTTGCAGCAATCTAGATTTGATTATGCATCATGCTCTCCAGCACCCTCTTGTCACACAGTTCGTATTTCCGTGCAGCTCATCATCCACATGCCTCACCATCAAGCCGCACAGTTCGTTACCGTTGCCTTCTGAGAGCCTCCAAGCCCGCACTTACACCTGCTCCTCTCTGTGAGCGGCATGAGAACTCACCACAGCCACGGCATCGGACCTCTCCCTCCGGGCAGTGACAGCACTCACCATAGCCACGGCATCGGACCCCCCCCCCCCCCTCCGGGCAGTGCCAGGACTCACCACAGCCACGGCGTCGGACCCCCCTCTCTGGACGACATGAGTACTCACCACTGCCACGGCGTCGGACCCTTCTGTCCGGGCCGTGTCAGGACTCACCACAGCCACGGCGTCAGACTGCAGCAGCTCCACCGGCGACATGACGGCCAGGTAGGAAATGTTGACCAGCAGGTAGCAGGCAGTCACCAGCGGCAGGCCGATGATGATGGCTAGCGGCAGGTTCCTGCCGACCACACGACACGCCGGCTCACTGACCGGGTCGGGAGGCGGCTGGCAGAAGAGCGCAGCACCCGCTAGCCCTAGGCGGCGGCACAGCACGTGTGGTCCGCGGACATGGCGGGATCCCGCCGCTGGCTGAGTGGCTTCTACCACCAGCCGACCGCCTTCGGGCGGTGACGCCGCCCAAGTCCCGGCGCTGACCGATCGAACTCGTTACTCTGACAGACGGCTGTGACGGCTGGCCGGCGGAGGCCGTAATGCGAAACTGACAGCCGCACGACGGCGTCCGACGCATAATTAGACGCGATGAGCCGCCGAACGTCCAACACCCGCCGTCGCTGAGCGTCAAACGGGGCACGTTTGTGGAGAGAAAGATAAGCAGGGGTCCAAGCGCAAGCAAACTATCAAGACAGAGTGTCTTGCCGGATACATAGGTGACAGAAGATCCATAACACGCCGTCATTCAGAACTGTTTTACGTGCCAAATCACTCACACTGTCACAGCAGGAGATTTACCTAAAAAGAAACGGCTTTCTGAAATAAAACTGATTTGCTTCGTTGAAAACTACGACACCGTGAGACAGGGGACGCTTGTGGCCAACCAAGCATAGCTAATGGCCGGTTTGATGCCCAGTTTGACGAGAATATTTCCAGTTAAGCTCCGCGAGCCGCAAAGCCAAACCGAAGAGACGCCCGAAGCCAGCCTCACCTGGAAGGGTTTTTGATCTCCTCGGTGACGTAGTTGAGGTTGTTCCAGCCGTCGTAGGCCCACAAGCCGCTGTAGAAGGCCGTGGCCACATCACTGACCGAAGTGGTGGTGTGCTGGAAACCCTGACGCAGGTACTGCGTGTTGCCTGGAAAACAAACCGGTCTCTGATCAACGCAAGTCTCTGGGATATTTCAAGGGTTGATTTGAGCGGTAGATATCTATGGTGCTTCTGTTTCGCTTCAGTTGGTTGGCTTTAGAGGAGGTAGCTCTCCAGTATGCACATATTTTTATATCAAGTTTGTGCCATAGCAGGGTAAAAGAAGAAACCGCGCAACACCCGAAACGAGGAAACGACGAGCGCATTCCCACACTCCAGACCGTTCCACTACCCGGCCACGGTATACCTGCAAACACCTACGCTACGTGCCTGCAGACAAAAAGGGGTTAGCTTCCAGATGACCTAAAGACCATGCGCACAAAACGGTCCATTAAAATACGTCAGCAAAAGCTGCTGACAGTAGAGCGTCAGCTATCTTTTACAGTCCCGCCACCCGAGGATGGCCGTGTTCGTGAGCTGAGGCCAACCGTTGCACAAATAGCTCGGTGGCAAGCTGTGGGAGGCCACGGAGTCGGAGGCCCGGCGCCAAAACACATACCTTCGGCCAGCGAGTACATTCCCCCGATCACGATAATGCCGATAGCGAACAGCTTAGCGGCCGTGAAGACGTTCTGCACCTTGGTGGCCAGCCTGACGCTAAAGCAGTTGATGAAGGTGATGACCCCTGCAACAGACATTGATCGTCACGAAAGGTGCGGAAGATAGACAGTCCGAAGATGCGATGATATGAATAAAAATGCGTCACACGGATACGGACACACTACCATGACCTGATAACTTCAATCTCAAATATTGCCGTGAACAATTTGCGGAATGTTCGCATTCACAATACATGGTTCGCATGTTTTTAACCTGATAATCTTCCAACTGAACGTGAGAGCTCTAGTTGCTTCAATGGATGATTTCTCTTCACAAATATCCTCGAGTACAAAAGGCTAGACAGTTGCCGGTGCAAGTGCGTGGGTTTTTACTGCAAAAGCTGTGCTCTTTAGGATATGCCACTGTTCTTCGTTGGGTGGAGGCCATAACATACTAAAACGATAGCAACGCAGACAAAAGCGGGTAACCAAAATAACAGCATGCAAAATTGTGATCGTATGTTCCTGTGATCTGTGTGGTAAACCAGCAATATGTTCTCGAAATGATATAATTCATAGGATATCATCACAGGATGTCACTGTTAACGATACGATATACTTCCGCTTCCCATGAAGTGTCCTTGCCCTTACGCACTGGTTATCTTCAAATGAACGCGAATGGGTGAGTACTTCACCACAGAGAGGAAGAGCGCGTATAATGGGCGTCAGAATGGTAGAAAATACGCAGGACAGTAGTGAGAAGCAGAAGTAGTAGGAAGCAGGCAGTCGAGTGCTCGTTCATAAATGGGTAGAGCACAGTAGAGCAGAAGAAGTAGAGTGGCCATAACTAGTAGTAGTAGAATGGAGTTGGTAGAGTAGGCACTTGGCGTTGGAGGGGGCCGGAGGCGATGGCGCCTGGACTTGGCTCCCTCCCAAATGCCCCAACCACCGTTGTAAATGCAGATAACCTCCACCATGAACCTATTTGTCACCTGTGACGCACACCAATTCTATGCCTGCCCGTTCCGTGAATGCCCGGCACAAAAACGCCGCAATGTAATAAAAAACGTCGCTTGATGCCCCAAATGCATTTGCGGCTGTCTCCCATCATAAATCCAATCTGCATGCGCCGTCAACCACCAATAATTAAATCGCAGCACTCTTATCGTCATTTTCTAAGGGGGGGGGGGCGCCGATATCGGGGATCGGGATCGACCAGCCCGGGACGCAGACGATGCCGCCGGGCGCTGCTGAACTGGGGAAAAATATTGCTCCGCCAACCCAAGCACTGACTAATGATGCCCTCCAGAAATCGATCGCTTCTCTTAATCATGTCTTATTAGCTCAGTACGGACGACGAGGGCTCCCCGAAGCAATTTTTAGAGCGACAGTCTCCAATTTTACATCACAACACATCGGCAAAAATGGTCTGATAAGAGTTGAACTACATCTGAACAGCTGACAAGCTCACGCCTTTCTCTCCAAGAGGTCAGCAATTTGCTAAAACCAGCGAGCAACCAAAGGGGAAAGCCTCGCAAAACACGGAGCCTTGTTCATTTGTTCTTTACAATCGTGCACAACCAGATTAAAACCGTAACACAGATAAACCGCTTTCACAACTATTGGCATGCAGTTAGATGTTAAGTTAAATGTTAGAGTAGTTATTGCTATTGGAAAACAATCAAAATGTATGTATCATCAGCAAACTGATCCTACATCTAGACCAAGCTCAGGTTTACGCCATGAAGTTTTCGCGGCCGTTCATTTTTATAAGCTTACTTCAGCATGACTCTAGGTTAACACTTAGCTTAGCGTGACCGAAATCGTCAGCCAATGGCATGATCGACGAGGCAAGACATCCATCCGAATGTGCGGCTGTGAACACCATCAGAACGCGATGCTTAACATACAGAGCACAAGCCATCATGTATTGCGACTGAAGGTCACCATCAGGAGACCGGCACGCTCCTGCCACGTTACGGCGGGAATGCACGGCCTTTTGGACCAGAAATGACACCCGCGAGACATTCGAGCTTCCATCGAATCCACCAGTTTATTTGGCATGCATCCGCCGTGCGCCAATGCGGGCGGATGAATTTGAAAGGCTTGGTAGTATTTTGAATTTGAAAGGCTTGGTAGTAACGTTGCAACTGACTGCGATCGAGTCGACCAGACCCGAGAATCAGACAGCTTTCGGCCGGGAACAGATTGCCAATACGGAAACAGGCGCGCCCTTGCCGGAGGAGAAGGTCACAGCCATTGTTAGACCGGGGTGAATCAGGGCCTGGCGGGGTCAGCCAGGCTCTCTCAGCCGGCCCCGGCACTCGGAGGTCCGAGGCGTTGGGGCGCCGCCGACAGCCAGCAGGTCTCATGTGACCGCTGTTGTGATTGGCTCCGGCAGGACGACAAGGCGCGGCACCCATCCTCCCCCCCCCCCCTACCGACCCCGCCACTCACCCGTGGGTCCCAGCCCAGATGACCGGTCCCACCCCGCCCCTGACGTCACTGATTGACGAGACAGCCATCGGTGACGCCTGAGGCGCGCGCCGCTGACGTCATCAGCTTCAGGCGGACGGGAGTCGACACCGACTTTGGAATGTCGTGTTTGCTGGAGACGTGTTGTGAAACCAGGGGGGAATCGATTGTCGATGTGGTGCAAAGTGTGGGAGGGCAGTGCAGGAAGTGGGGATTTTTATTCGCTGGAGAGCTCAGTGGGCTGAACGCAAGAGGCTGCAATGGCCCGTAGTTGACAAGCAGTGTTTTTGTTGTAATACCCCGCACCTTGTACATAATTGTGCATGAGTCCCTGGGTTGCATTATGACGTCAGAGTTTTTATGCTAAGCCGTCGGTTTTCCATAAAGCTGGCAGGCGATGGTTAAACGACGTCACGGCGTAATCATTAAATACTTGACAGCACTACTGGCAGTACATGACTTGTTTAACCAGCACCTCCTGATATCTTCAAAGTCCATAACTCAGTACAAGAACTCTGAACTCACCATGCTCAAAATAAGGAGCTAAAATCCTTTCCTTGCTTTTATCAAGCCCACAGGCTCAATTGCATCGTAAGGTATTGCCACCACCACGAGCTCAGTGAAATAGGTTCTGTAGTTGTTGCTTCATGTTCTGGGTTCTCGTCCCAACATCGTGGCCGTTTTACAACAGTGCTCTTCATCAAGTTGGGGCACACACCATACGCGAAGAGCGGCACAGGAGCGGTTCTCAGCGCTCAAAGAGTCGAGCGCAAGAATGGATTCGGCAGCACCGCTCCACCCCGTCCGAACCGTCGGCCCCAAAGTCAGCAGCACCAGTTCATGACCTCGGCACCACATACCCGCGGCCTCGGCGTGCCCTCTCTGCCAATGTCGGCAGAGTGTCCCAGTGACGTCAGATCCATCAGTGAGTGACGTCAGCGGCGTCAGCGCGTGACGCGGAGCACGGGCGCCGGCGTCCGGCAGTCGGCCGGAGCTTGCTGTCCGCTCGCCAGGCATGCTGCACTGGCCCGGCCTCGAGCGCCGGCGCCGCCTGCCCACGTCCATTAGCGACCCCAGACAATGGCAAGGAGGTGCCAACCGGCGGGGTAGTTGGCAACGCACTTAGAAGGGGGCCGGGGCGGGGCGCGGGGCGGGTCCCTGCTAAGACCCGGTCAGGAGCTTGCCGGGCTCGAGGCGTCAGAGACTGGGCGCTCGCGCTGTCCGGTGACGAAAACTTCCAGTTTTTGTTCGCAGTTCTTCTGGTTATTTGAGCTGTGCGTCTGTCAGTCTAATTTTCCCCGCTGTTGGAGTGCTCTTCAGCCATGCGCTATGTGGTCTTAATCACAAGCTGAGCCATACCCAGAACGTGGTAAGTTCCTCTTTCGCTCAGTTGTTCGGTCACTTCCTACCGCGCGAGGAATCCTTCCCAGTTTGTCTCCTTCAGCCCTTCTTACTCAACCAGCTACCAAGTTCAACCCAAGAGAACTTCACAATTTCACTCCTCAAGCCATCCCTCTCCAGCTCACTCTGCCTGGCTTCCAGTCCTGCACACCTCATTAGCACCCTACTGAACTTGTTCAACGCTGCACTCCATTGTCTTGCGCCCTCCGTGGTTCTTGCTCATTGCCTAGTCTATACCCTCGCCAGCTACATCCTCTGCCCTCCGTCTTGCCCCCCCCCCCCATTCACCCAGCGTGTCCCCCTCCCAGGCGTACCCCTCCTCTTTCGTTCCACCCCGGCCTGTTCCGACCACCCCTGACCCCGCGCCGGGCGGTCCGGCAGCGGCGCGGCGGCCGCGCACCACCTGCAGCTGCGGTCGATATGACCAGCCCCGGCCGCTCAGATCGGCCCGGCGGCCCTGCTCCCGCAGCGCGACCTCCTGCAGGTCAGTGTCAGACGGCGGCGCTGTCAGCCAGCGCGCGGCCGGCCGCCGCTGGCCGCCGTAAATCGGCACAGACGCGGCGTCGACGGCAGGTCCGCCTCGAGGCCGAGCTCGCACTGTTGGCACGACGTGCGAACAGCGGGCGCCTGCCAACGCACTCCCAAATGCATGAGCTCGATTTAGCTTCGAGCAGCATGGCTGCTACGCACGTTGTCTCGAAAACATGTTAAAACGCCGTAACACTAACACAATAGATCGCACGCTCAAAAAGTGCGCGACGAACCGCAGCGGTGGCGGGGGGGGGGGGGGAGGGGCGGCATTCGCGGCGCGCCGAGCGAGCTCGCGACTTCGCCCAGGTTTACAGCCTCCGGCGCGACCAAGACGCCTCAGCCGCCCGCGTCAGGTCTGAGTGCAGTTCGCCTGCTGGCTGACCGGCCACAGCTGTCTCGGAGGAGAGTCGAGATCGGTCGCAGCTGTGTCGCTCAGGGTACAGACCCTCGCGCGGTGGGCGGCGCACGAGAACTGCTGCTAGACCTGCGCGACTCCGACACACGGATGGTCAGCGGTCCGGATCGGAGACGAAGCGCAGGGCCAACTTGGAAGCGCGCGGGTACATAAATGCCGTGTGGTCACGAATGCCAAATGGGTCACGGCACGGATAAAATGTCTAGGTTGCCCAAATGCATTTGAATCTCGTCTAAAAATAGCCTCAATTTTCATCACGAAAATGTCAATACATAGTTCGGAACGGCAGAACAAAGCCAAAACGACCATAGGCGCTCCATTGGAGGTCTCAATAAGGATCGGTGTTCGTATTGTTACAACGATCAGTGACTCTTCAGCATGCAGGTCGCTGTTATCATTCTTGGTTTACGACGCACTCAGATACTGAGGTTACATGGCGTCGCCTGCCCCTCACCACGGCAGGAAAACGGACTCCGGGAGAATCAGGCCCGGCTTAGACGCTGCATTACCAACACCCGCGCCACGGCATGCAGCATGGCAGCGTGTTGAGTAGCCTGCAATGACGATGATATGCAACATTCCTTAAACCGCACGTCGCTTCTCGTCGGTGCAGCACCAACAGCAACACCAGCAGAACGGCCGTCACCAGCAGCCGGCAATCGACTCACCGATGGTGAGAATCCCGACGAGCGTCACAACGTGGGCCGGCGGCTCGCACTCCTCGACGAACGCCTCGACCAGATACTCGGCGAACGACAGGCAGATGATGGCCAGCATGCTGGGCTTGAGCACGAACGAGCAGACCCAGGAGAAGACGAAAGCCGGCAGTGGGCCCAGCCCCACCAGCAGGTAGACGTACTCGGCGCCAGACGACGGGATCAACGTGCCCAGCTCGGCGTACGCCAGCGCCCCTGCGGGCCGGGCCAGAGGGCGGGTCAAGGGAGCGTCAAAAGGCGGGTCAGGGGCGGGAGGGGTGGGTTGGAGGGCGTGTCAGGGGGCGGGTCAGGAGCGGGTCAAAGGCGGGTCAAGGGGCGGGTCAATTGTGGGTCAAGGACGGGTCAAAGGGCGGGCCGGGGGCGGCCAGGGGCGGGTCAGGGATGGGTCAGAGATGAGTAAAGGGTAGGTCAAGGGCGGGTCAAAGGGCGAGCCATTAGTAGGTCAGGTGTAGGCCAGAGATGATCGGGGCCGAGTAAAAACAGCCAAATGACGACCGCCTTCTGAGAACGCGAAGGTATAGTATTTAGACGTTTTGCTTGTAACATTCCGTGAAGTATACGCTTGAAGCTTGGCTTTTATAGGTGGAGTATACCGTTTGGCAGGTGTGGGAGCGACCACGCCGCCCTCCATTCACATGCACACAACTTAAGCAGTTCTTCGTTGCAAGATGCTCCTCCCGGCACTTTGGCAACACAGTACGCATTGCCATTTTCGAACCGTACTGGTCTGGCTTGTGTTGCGGACCTCCCCAAATTTCTTGAAAACATTTAATGCTAGCTCTCCAAATTCTATCAATGAACACACATCACTCATATCATTATACAGCATACCACATTCTTATACACTCATCACATATGATACTCAGAACATATGATGCTCATAACACATGATGTTCATAACACACCATTCACAAATGTAATTTTGGAATGCGATAGTCTGTTTTTTTCCAACTTTATCCACTTGTTTTATTTCATGGGCCAAAAGCGTGACAAGCTTCTCCCCATTCGTCTCCCCATGCGCTGCATTTCTGGGACCTCTCGCACCAAAGCAATGGTTATTAGGGCAAGCCATCATCGAGCACCATGAAAAGAAATGGCCCAACCTCCAGGTCACATAAAAAGCAAATTGGCGACCAACGTACCAATCGCGTGTCCCCTTTTTCATCCTAATTTGGAACGCACGCGAACGCTACATGCGCCGTGGCCCGTGCAGACGACGCTAGATTTTCTGGAGAAAGTTTGGGTGCAATATCTGAAGAATTTTTATAGTTCTAGCGGAATGCCCAATGTGCTTTCCCGGTTCGGTTTGGCTGTCCGGTCTGGCGGACTGGCCGCGCTATGATCAGCAGGTCACCCAAACCACTCACCAAGCATGGACAGGACGCCACATCCTGCCCACACGACGAGGGAGAGTCCAACGGATCCGGTGCGCTCCAGCACACCCTTCGGGGATACAAATATCCCAGACCCTGAAGACGAAGACAGGCCGTCATATCACAGTGTGGTGTTTTCTACCGACACATGCAGACATATTTTTCAGACAGAGAAAAACCGGCATTACTGAGATCGCATTCGCTTATTTTAACTTGACAGACAAACACAACCCAGATCAAGCACGCTATCAATGAACTCCTCATGCAATGCAGTGTTGCAGCATGTCGAAGACATTCCATCCTGCCATGGTATGCCGCTAATAGTGGCAAAGAACGCCCACATCGCGTGAAAATATTCTGCCTGAGGCGCAAAAGGCGAGCGCAGACAATCTAATACTAAAACCAGCAATAAAGCCGGCGCGGAATGTCGGCTTCGGGAGGTCGAATGTCGGCTGTCGCGTTTATACCGGAATAAACACGTGGAAGGCCGTCATTCATTCCAGCATTCCGTCAGCCACTGGGGACTACTTCACAAGACGTTCACAGAACAAAGCATTGACTATTGAACAAAAGGCTCAGAACACACGTGGTTTTGGCCACGCATCTAGAGACATGAATGACCGTTCCCATCGTTTGCAGGAGCGAACAATGACTTGAAACGGGGGCTATGGCTCGTTAAAGAAGACATCGGGCAGTCGCGTCCAGCTTTCAGGGAGAGGGGAGGGAGGGGGGGGGGGGGGGTGGGGAACTCCACATTTCGCTCCACAATCGTCGGCGACTTTATGGAGCCGCCGCGCATTTCGGACGGGTAGTTCTGCCCGTTTCACTTACTAATGCACGTGGACGTGTCATCTCCATGCAACAGGGCCCGGACGGACGGCTGCGGGGGCCGTTAACACGCCACCGTCTCTGGTGTCGGGCGCACGGACACGTCACAGCACAGCGGGAGGGGGGGGGGGGGGGGGGGCGGAGGGAGGGCGTGTGGATGCTAGTACAATTTTTTAAAATTATTATACCGTATATGATTTATTGCAGACTGGGTTTTAGTCTGCAATGCATAGATCCGCTACACCGGACGCCTCAGTGACGTTGACGTAAAGAGCCTGGAGCTTGCGTGCTGCTGATCCCGGGTAAAGGCCATATGACGCTGAATTGCAGAGGAATATGTGCTTTAAAACAATAAGTGGGGTATTCTGGGGACATTTTAAACTTAAAACACCATCGCAACATCCTAATTCTTTCATTTTTTTTCAAACAGTTGCTTTTGATGTGCTGAGATTGGTGCTGTGAACCCTGCGCCGAAACCGTGGTGCTCGGCTTCACGGCGTGAGCGCTGGGATTTGTGGCCTCATTTCCCTCTCTCCGCGGGCAGCGTTCGGCGTCACATGTATTTTGCAGTCTGGCCTTCCCCAGCTGACGCCACGCGTCTCGTCAGCTGTTTATATGTGGAATGATGGGGAGGATGACGCGCTAGCGACGACTCAGCTCAAGCGCACAGCTATGCGATGTAGCTTTGACACATTTTGGTAGAATCGCGCCATGAAAACCCCCTGAATGAGAAGCTTGATGAAGACTTAAGGCCGGACGCCAATGACATGTACCTGCTAGAAGCTAGTGAGGAAATTTGGTAACGGATGTGCGGTGTTCGGTACTCAGACATCGATAGCTGAGCTGATTTTTCACGCCTCGCCTGCGCTGCATATTCATAGCCGCTGGTTTTGTTTCGGGTCGGAAGAGGTTCATATCAACTCACTATGTGTGATAAGCTGAAGAGGTATTTGCTAAGTTCGAACCACATGAGTATGCTCTCTTCCGGGAGACTGTCGCCTTCAGCGTTCTCATGCAGCACAAGGCTTTCTAAACAGAGGAGAAGCTCCCAGCGTTGTACATTAAGAGATAGCGAACGAACGCATCAGTAGTCCTACTAGCGGGGTAAAAGAAACTCCTTCAATTAGGATGCGGGACAGCAATTTTCGGTAATTTCCTTCCAGCCAGTTCACCACGAGTTAACTACGCATGTTATTCGATATTGTGGCAGCCGGACTGCTGAGAAAATCGTGAAAGTATCTTGCACAATTATTTCAAAAGGCCGCAGGCTCTTGGGTATAATCAACCCGTATCGCTGCTGTCTGTCTCCACGTGAAAAACGCGACGCCTGGAAATATCTACATCGAAGCGGGCTACCGTAAACGACAACGCTACCAGGGACGGCGAGCCTTTGTTGACTGCATTACCCTGTCCTGGAATGTCTCGACCAAAAGGTTCCGTGCTGATGCAATACTTATTCCAGCAGGTCAATGCCCCCGGCACGCCAAGCATCGCATTCCATCGCCCCTGTCGCCGCGTACAATGCAATCAATACCGGGTCCATGTAATGAAAGCCGCCAAGGCACTATACAGCACTGTCGTACATGGCTCCCAGCAAATCCATTCAGGATGTAATCAAAGCACCACGTTTTTTGCTCCGTTTGCCTGGTTGTTGTACAGTATTCTGACTTGAGGGCGAACGGCTGGCGTCGGCGCCCCGCCTCCCGCAAGATTTCTCCCGGTTCCGCTTCTGCCCAAGACCTCGGAGCCCAACATGTAGCAGCATTCCGTGCCGCCGGCACACCAGAGAGGCCTCGGTCACGGCAATGCTGATGAATGCCCGCGTCCAGCGCAACGATAAATGAAGCGCCCGAACAACCGCTCAATCACAGCAGGGAATGATTTACAGCCGCCCACCGCGCAAAAATCACTAGCGATGTTATTTTGAACCGGGCGGGTGCACCACTGCAGCTTCCCTGGCCGTTCGCTGAACTGAACAGCTTGGCACCGCACACGGGTGGCCGGCCGAAGCACCGCACACGGGTGGCCGGCCGAATCACTGCACAGGGTGGCCGGCCGAAGCTCCATATACGGGTGGCCGGCGAAGCACCGCACAGGATGGTCGGCCGAAGCTCCGCCCACGGGTGGCCGGCCGAAGCCACACTCACCGATCATTGTGCCGACGATTAGAGCAGTCCCAGAGAAGAGTCCCACCCTTCTCTCGAGGTGCGTAGAGTCGCCCGCATCTGGTGCGGGTGGCGCCAGCAGGTCACCAGCTTTTCCTTCGGGTACGTCGGACAGCTGGCCGGTGCTACCGTTCTTCTGTACACTCCCATTGCGATGCTCTCCTGCAACGAGGGGCACGCGTCACTAGGAACGGCGCCGAACAGGGTTTTGAGAAGGGGTGATGGGGCTGTTTCTAGACGACGCTGCGTAATCCGGCCAAGGTTGTCCCCTGGGACGTGGATCAATTATACTGCAGCATTTTTCACGAAGTTTTTTTACTGGCTGCATAATCCTAGTCAGTATTCCAAAGCATACCAGCTTCTTAAGGTACAGTTGGTACTTGAACTGTTTTAACTATGACATATCGGGGAAATTTGTATGAAATGTATGTAAGCGGGGCCGTTTCAACCATCAAGCTGTCCAGTTCCTGGATGTAAGTGGAAGGCGCATAAGTCTAGAAATAAGCAGCGTACACGATTCCTCGTCTGAACACAATACACAGTAAAGAAAGTCAAGGCGTTTAAAAAAAAAAAAAAATATTGACAGGTACGGTAAGCGGTGGTGATGTGGATTTGGCGCAATTGAAATGCAGCTCCTAGCCAGACGTCGCACCGTAGATGATGAGCTCGGCTCAACTTACGTTCGCGCTATTGTATTGTGATATACAGGATAGAAAATATGGCACATTTGCGCAAGTTGCGAAATATTTTCGTGATACGTTTTGCCGCGACTGAGCAATGCTTGAAACATTACAACACAAGAATAACTTGCCTGACAAAAAGAAAAGACATGCACACACTCACACATGAGTACGCTTTGGTAAGGAATTTCCTTCAAGCTTTGAAATCTTTCACACCACCTTCCCTCACATCTTCCATAATCGTAGATCCACAGCCTTCTTAAAGGAATTGGCGCACGCGACTTTCCTCACGTGCTAGCTTCAGCACCATTCCAATATCACAACGTTACAAAGCTTTAAAGCATCGTGAAATGGCTTACAAGTACGTTAAGAAAAGCTCACGCTTTTGAAGCTCATGATACCCAGCGCACCACGGCAGCATAAGCTACAAGTTTTGCTTTAAAGGACTGGTTTTAGCAGAACTCTGCATAAAAACCCTTAAGTTCAGATAAGACCACTGCACCACCCCCGCGATGCCCCGCTAGAAGCTGGACTGCCAACGTCCATTGGGATTACAGCAGCCCTCTTGGCACCACACTGCCGCAGTACCATCACATTGGTTCGGTCTCAAACACTCATCGGCAAACACGGAACAGTGATTTATACATAAGTTACCTGACGTCGCCATCATGGACGGTGTTAGTAACGTGAGCCTCACGGTCCCCGGACCAGCACCAATCCACCCGCCCGCTGCGTCTGCGCTCGGACGGAGACTGCAGCTCCTTTTCTTTGAGATCGCGGATGGAGGACGCGCTGCACTTGTTCGTTGCATCGGGCGGGGAGCGGAACATGGGTACTTTCGACCGACAAATGACACCATGCTAGCAGTTGCAGCTGCTGCGGGCACACTAGTCACCCCAGGAAATCGTTTGCCGACAGCTGGACGTGAGCATCATGTGTGCCATTCCCTGGCCGGATCGGCACGGAGCTTCTGGGGCGTGGGTGCATGTGTCCACGCCACCGAACGAGCATGTGTGCCTTTGATATCGTGGCCTGTTCCCGTAACGGCTTCCTCCACCATATCCAACGCGGAGCTCCACAAGGGATCAAGAGGCTTTCTCGCACGATGCACACCAGTAACTTCCGCTCGCTAGTGTTTACCGTGTGTGTGTGTATGCTATTATAACCACCCGGTACAGCGGCATCGAAATTGTAAGGCCGCTGTTCTCGCAGTTCATCCGTTTGCGGCATCATGCAGTTGTAAGACGAGGAAAATATGCTGTCGAGATAGACTACGGCAAGGATTTAACTCGACCAAAATCCATGTACACCAACAGAGGGTTGAAACTTTCGTTGAAAGACAGAGGGTTGAAACCTGCATTCCCAGAGTCTGTTTTCCCGTATACGATAATGTCATCCAGTTTCATAACCCAAGGTTTCCATCACACGGTTGAAATGCCCCTGCATAGCGCATATGCGGTGCATGGAGCATGTTCATAACGCTTATGCTCCTTGATCGCGTTATGATCGATCATTATGGTTAAATGAAGTCGTGCGTCTCAACGCCCCATATGCACATCCATGTCTATCCTTGACAGCGTAAGCGTAAACAGACGAAATTATTCAGAGAATGATCTTATCTCTACCGGTAATTATGCAAATACACCGCTGCAGAACAAGGAACCGTGCCACATTTGATTGCGTACATTCAGGAGACAAGCCCGACGCAAGACGAACAGACGTGCGTCTGATGTTCTGCCGGCATTTTGTAGTCGCCCCGCATCCGTTTTTCACTTCCTGACAGATCTCGAAGCGTATCGTAGACAAACGACAAACAGATCACGACAATTCGACCAGAAAGCTGACGTCGCGCAGCCTTCAGGACGAGCGGGCGCGCGCGCCGGCCCCGTCTTGGCGGGCGCTCTTGATTGGCGGAAGCGCCGTCCAACCGCTCGCAACTAGCGCCGGCGGCTCGCGCGGAGCGCCAGACGTCATCAATTATCGCAGGCTTCACGGCCCGGCCTGTGACAGCCGGACGGTGACGGCGCTTGTTCGGAGCTGGCCAAAACAACCCGGCTCCTGAAGCGGGCCGATCCGCATGCCGACGCGCCCCGCGTGACGACAGCTCGCGCGCGCGCCGGCTCCCGCTCTTGCATCAGCCAGGCTGGGTCACCGCATCGACGCGGTCTGCAGCCGTTTAAAATTAGCCTCGCAGTCGTTCGAAAAGGACGCGCTGCGGCTGCTGCGAGAGCACCTGAGGAGGGACTTCAGTTAGGGAGATTGATGGCGGCGTGGTAAAGTCAAGTGTTTTCGCACACCTTTTTAGGTTTGTTTCCCTCTGATGGTGAATCAAACTATGACCATCCGCCCTCAACTAAACGGCACAACTAAATTAATGTAGTCTATAACTTTTACCAGTTTTTATTCTGGGCATGATCATATAAACGTCTGATGGATCCAAAGAAGTATTCCCCACAACGATTGTATTATACCGATGCAAATCACATTAGAGAATTGAACGCTCGCCATCTCGCTCGTCCTCAAGCAGTCGTTCCCAGTGGAAACGCGACCGTTGTTTTCGGCTGCAACAGCAGGTATTTTTGGGTGTGGCCGATATTTTCAATCGCGCATGTGACAACATAACCTTTTAGTCAACACCTACCTATTGGCGCCGACTGAACAGTTGTCTTTTTCACTCAGGCCTAATTTGGCTGCATCGCAATTCGATCTCCCCTGAGATCCTCACATTCCTTAGGGGAAATTCCCCTAGTTGGGAGTACCTGGCATTGGAGGTGGGTTTCAAGTATATGATGTTGCAAGCGCAGTACGCAGGACGACCATTGCCAGCTAACCTAAACCCAAGCTCGGACCATAGATCGAGGTACGGTCCATAGGTTTAAGTGGTGAACATCCAGACCAAGATGATGTACCACACAAGAAGCATTGCACAAACATATCTTGAACTCTCCTAAAATAGCCTCGAAACAACTGTGAAAGCGATTTGATTCCTAAAACCATTCATTCGGTCCATTCTCACACAAATTTCTATTAATTTTTAGCCAGCTGCAGGTTCGAACCGCATAGCTGTGTTTCCATCTTAGGCAGGCTCCATCAACCCCACCTAACCTCCCGAAACTTAATGCACTGGTCTCGCCTCCGTCAGGTTTGAAAGTTATTTCGCTCGGGATAGACATTCATGCACAGACATGCGCTACCGGAAAAATGAGGCATAACAGTCATTCACATGAATCTCGCGTCATGAACCAAACGTTACATCCATCGAGACAAAACGATCATGATGAACTCTAGTTAATCTCATAGACTTACTGAGACAGAGGACAGGCGTGCATTGAGTAATTCTTTTAACATACACATCAGCACGGTGACATCTTCACACTCAACTTTAACATGAAATGTGTCATTTTCTGTCCTGCCATTAACGAAGAAATGCAGGCCTTCTGATATCAGTGAACCGGACTGTGGCCGTGGCCGTCGCCTGAGACCGTGCAATGCCTTAAAAAGTGCAGAGCCTGGATAACATCGTTGAATTATGCATAAGTGCTGTCAGATTACTGAAAAGAACTTGTGGTACACAGTGATACCCCAACCTTTCAATGTCATTCAACATTTGTGTGGCTGCTACAATGTCAACAACGATTTGCTATCCTCATCCTCATTTTTCTTTGCGATATCTAGCGTTGCTTCCATACATCAAAATACAAACACATCACACGAACGTTCCAAAACCACATCCCTGCTGGATCGTTATCTGCTCGTATTTTTGCAAAAACAACAGCCATGCACCCAGAATTGCCGGCAGGCTCACTCACTGCGGTAACAGTCGTGCCGCTCGCTGTTTCTGCTCTGTCACGTGATGAGCTGCCGCTGGTGGCGCCATTAATCGCGGCCAGTGCCGCGCCGCGGCCCGTATGCTCCAGCATGATAACGCGTCGTGACGTCACAATGCCGGAGCGCAACAGTCCGTCGCGGCCGACGGAGGCCTTGGGGGAGGGGGAGGGGCGTCGAAGCCGACGCGCCAGCTCGGCGCCGCTGGGACGAGGACGGGGCCTGATGACAGACTGCAGAGGCCGGCGGCGAACGCCTCAGAGCGAGAGAGCGGGCACGGAGGCCAGCGCCAGAGGGGTCTGGTGCCTGCAGCGGCTTGAAACCTTCGTCGGTCCTGACGGGAGTGAGCTCATCGCGCATGCTGACAAAAATAGGGCTATTGGGCCGTTTCTGTGACATAGAACGGAAAGCCGTGCTGAGAGGCTCTCGTGCCTCGGAAGACGAGGGGCCCGCCGTGGCAGCGGTGAGAGGCCCCCATAGAACGAGAAGCCGTGCTGAGAGGCTCTCGTGCCTCGGAAGACGAGGGGCCCGCTGTGGCAGCGGTGAGAGGCCCCTCAGACGGATGTGTCGCCGTCCAGCCGATATGCCAACCACAACAGTCCAATCCGACCGCTGGCCCTCAGGCCCTTTGTCAGACCATGGCAGGAACAATGGGCCGTCAGCCACCCCCGCAGATCCATGGCACGGCAGATGGTTTATTCCTAAAATAGCCCTTAGGTTGTGGGGCTCTTCAGACGGAGGTCCGCTGGCTTGGGTGTTATGGAAATGGGTCACCAATCTAGAGCTTACCTCATGCGTCGTCAACAGTGAGGGGTAAAACGGCTGCTTTATATTTGTTTCCCAATTCGTAGCAAGAAGCGAATAACATTCATTCCGGAGTTCAAGTTCAAGAACGCATGGCGCCAGTAGTTATACTCCAGAACTCGTGCCGCTAAGGGCATGCAGTTTTCATTGCAGCGTCAACAAATGCTAGGACACTTGAGCCAAGATAACGTCATACGTTGGCCCGACAATGGGGTGACTTGTTTCCCAACCTTTTAAATGGCATCCTACGTTGTGCGACAACGACCACACAAACTAACCTCTTGAAGAAGTTGATTTCAGGGATTCCTGTACGTTTTTAAGTGGTGCATTGGATTTTCATGTTGTTACATAGACACAGTCTCTGCTATGAATGTTTAAGGGAGCTTTATTCCTAGGGCGCTGTAGTTTACACGAAGAGTGATGCCCCAGGATGTGACCGTGTATTGCAGGTATTATATTTGAGACTGGGGTTACATCTTAATGATTGGCCTTTCCCGCCCTCAGGGGCGTACATATCTAAAATGGCGCAAAATAGCCCCGATGCCGACGCGTCCTAAACACCAAATCACCACCAAATCACCACATACCTAGCTGAAAGATAGGTTCAACGAAGCTTAATGAATTTTAAAAGTGCAGGATGGTGAATGGATTTCATAGGCTACCCAAATTTTGTCAAAATGCTTTCAAGTACTAAAGTCACCAGGCACATGCAACGGGTGTACGAACTAAAGCGTCGAACACTTCCCATCAACGCAGCGTAACACGGTACAGGGCTCAACGCATATTACAAAAATGGGGGTGTAGCAGACTTTCTGATTGATCACTTCCTGCCCAAAAAGTTGCATTGATGTACGCAGTACTAAGTCCACAATAAATCGCTATCTTCAATATTACGTTTTAACAATGTATTCCGAACGCCTCGCAAGGGCTGCACTGGACTTCCAGCACATGTTGAGCAGAGCTTGCTGCTTGTATCTTGAGCCCACTATCCCGCCATCGTCATTCCAGTTTCATGGATAATTTTGTATCTGACCTTTGACTGATAATATTGCGGAATGTTTATCTGAGATGTTCAAGGGAGACGGGAACGCTTAAATGAACTCTCCGGAAGATAGCAGATGCGACAACA